ATAATGTTCTATATGTAATATATGTCTTATTTTATATTTAAATATGCTTTTTAATCATTTTTTTTATTTATAAAAAATATTAAAAATGCAATATGAGGCTAAAAAGTTTTCTTTTTTTTTTTCGCAAAAATAGTAGGACACTTAAATATTGAAAAGTTATCTAAAATTATTAAAAATCATCCCAATTAGATATTGGAGTGCAAAGTTATGGTCTCCGGAATTTTGTATACATATTTATTGTGCAACCAATGACCACCCGATCACCAAGTTGATTGGGTCAACGGTCCAACTATCTGGGTCAAACAGTTTTTGACCTGGTCAATGATTTTAACTAATTTCTGGATTTTACTAGAACTGGACCCAAAATCATGACCAATAACGGCTGGGTCAATAGTGGGTTAAGTGGGTTAAAAACACTGCTATAGATAGAACATAACAATGTGGGAGAGATTAGAGGGGAAAATGTCAGGATAAGCCATTTTTACATTGTGGTCTGGACGTGAAGCACAAGTTAAATAAATGGAGCATTCCTTCTTAATTAAAGACTCATGCCACATAGGCTCTGTTTGTGAAGAGCTCAAATGCCGGTTTAGTGCACATATGCTATCTAGTCAGTTTGGTAAGATACATTTATGTATTTCAAAATATGTTTGCATCCAAAATGAGAGAAAAAAATGGATGCAAACTTTGTACTCAAAGTTGATCAAAATTAAAAAAAGATATATTTTAATCCCGGGATTCATATTTGCACCTATTACAATTAAAAACCATTTTTTCAAAAAAAAAATTATCAATACAAAATTAAACCAACTTTACATTTGCATGAACCAGAAAACAGTCTACATATTTGCATTTACACTCTTCTCAAAAGGAACCATAGATACATACATACATCTGATAAATCATTTTATTAAGAGGTGTATTTTTGTCTTTCCATGTCTTTTAACCGCAAGGGGAATTCTTTGTTTTATATAAATAAAGAGTGCAAAAAATTCAAGTCATGGGATGGGCCAATAAAAGTACATCCAAGGAAAACACCAAACTAGAAAAAAAAAAAAAAAAACGAACAAAGAAAAAAAAGAAAAAACTAAATTTGCAGTGTAAATGATTTGAGTGTAAATTTTGACCTATTTTTATTTTAAAATTTAGTTTATTTTATTTGATTATAATAAAAATGAAGTAAATTAATACATGAAGTAACATTTAAAACAAAATTAAACAAAAATTTACAATTTTATATTTGCACTAATGCAAATAAAATTGTACGGCAACCAAACAGAGGCTAAAAAGTAAAATTGTGAAGTAAGCTTCAACAATTTGAGTCTCTAAGTCTGTACACCACCAACCAATGATATAGAAGTAGAACAGAACAGTGTCAACTGTCAAGTATACGTATTTTATTTTTTTATGTTCCTTACGCTTGCACCGTACAACACCGTATCTCTGGAACATTGTGTCATTTCTAAAAAAAGAGTCTGACCACTGTCAGCACACTTGATAAAAATAAAATATTCTAAATGAATGGCAAAAGATGTATTTGTATTCGTATGGATAGCATTTTGAAGTAGGACAAAGAGAAGGCCTCAACTCAAAGCAACCTTCAATTGCGCCCCACGTAAGGGGAAAATTTTGTAGACTCCCAACTCCCAACTCCCAAGGTATATAATTGAGCGAGTGGGGACAAAGGGGTGTTCATTGTCATCTCTACCACATTGTCCCCTTCCATCCCTACATTACTCTGTCTTTCTGTCCCTTTCCCTCCGGCACTCTCACATTTTGCCTGTTTCATCGCGTCACCATGAGGCCCCACATGCCATCTCTGACTCTACCCCATAAAATCAACGACCCAAATCTTCTTAATCATTTGTTATTTCCTTTTCAGATGATCACGGTTCCATTAATCAAAGTATCAAACCGTGGGAATATTTTCCAAATGGAATCGGTACCACTGGTTTTTGAAAAATCGTGAATAAAAAATTGAAACTAATTAGTTAATTTCAGTTTTAGATCGATTTGATTTGTGGGTTTTTTTGATTATTTGATATTTATTATATAAATATATAATAAAATATTAATAATACTTATAATATGTATAATAAAGTATGTGTTTAGTTCCATTTACGTTTATTGAGTAAATGCTGCCACATAGGGACTCTATCATCAAAGGCTTCATTAATTGTATTCAATACGTATCGATTTCTATGTCCCTCCTGTTTCAAGAAGCTTTATTTTGGAGTTTCTTGAAACGGATAGGCGTTTATTGGCACTTTCATGATGTGGTGTCTAATGGCGTCTATGTATCATAAATGCCCTCATTAATTGTTTTTTTTGGTTTTGCAGCCACACAAATATAAAACATTTACTCAATAAACATAAACTGAACCAAACACCCTGAAATTCTAAATAGATAATATATTTATATACCGGTTGGTGCACTTAATTGCTAATTTTTATATTAGTTAACTGAAATTAAACCATGCATTTGTTTTTTTTTTCAAAAATATCAAACCAACCAATTCAATTAATTGAGATTTTGGTTCAATCTGGTTAATTAAATCAATATTTTAAAAATTGACATGGAATTGGAACTATTCTGACCATCGATTTCTAGGTCGATAGTCCAAATGAACGATCCATTCTAACAAAAAAAAATCAAAAAATTAATTAAAATTAAAAACGATCAAAAACTACTAAGTGGGTCAAACAGATGACCTATTCTGATGAAAAAATTAAAAAATAATTAAAATATAAAATGGTAAAAAATATTGAATGAATCAATAATTTGACTGCCCATATCAACAAGTTGTTAATTAATTCAATGATTTTTTATTAAGATATGCCTAATCGAAACTTTAAAGAGGATCGGCTTTATAGTTGCTTTATTATTTCAACTTTTTTACTTGTAAATAAATAAATGGATTTGACTATGATACAGAAAAGATATGATATCGGAAAAACAACTGATCAATAAATCAGATGATGCTTAATACTTTTATTACGTCCCTTCTGAAGTAATTATCTAATGGGACTCACGCTGATAGCATACGACAGGACTACGGTGAAAAGGTACAACAGACAGTGCAGTGGACCTACGTACATTACATACCAAATAAGAACAAGCCCCTTGAGGCCTAAGTCCAAGATCAGGACTATAATATATTAATATCGTGGAGAAGCGAGAATGTGGGACCCAAGAATTAATGGTGATTCAAAATAATCTTGCATGTAAACCACGTGTGATAGATGGGATTGACGAATTTAGAAGCCCAAGAGTCAGTGGCTCAGTGGTCAGCGCTACACAATGCCCCTTGCCTCCTCATCTGCTAAGCTATTATTGTTTTATTGTTGTTTTCTGCTCCGCGTGCCGCTCGATTCCAGTGTCAAATACGGAGCGTCCGATGCATGCCTCATCCACTGGCATGAATGTTCAATGCCTTCATTCAGTTCAGCATTCAGCTCACAAAATTACGTGGAACCCATCAATCCAACCAACAACCAATAAAACTGTCATCTAACTCTGAAAAATGCAAATCATCATGTCCCGTTTGGTTTACGGAGATAGAGATTTTTTTATTTCAACTGTCTGTTGGGTGGAATTAGAATCCCATTCTCCATTCTGGTGGAGGGGACATTCTCTTCCTCTCCCACACGCTGATTCCAATTTCTGTCTAAACTAAACAAATTATGGGAATAAATCATTTCAATTCTGATTTCAAAGGATTTCAATTCCCATTCTAAATGCCAAACAAACAAAATTTGATTTTTTTTTTCAATCTCAACTATTGATAGTGGACCCTTAACACCACATCATATTGGTTATGATGGGCGCTTTTTCTCTTACGGCTTAGCATTTTCATCATGAATACTTAGGCAGCATTTGGCATTCTTTAAGGACTTATCTCCTTTTTGCAGTTAAAAACTTGGCATTCATAGGAACATTTAAATGCAAAATGGAGATAAATCCTTAAGGTTGCATATGGAATCATTGTAAAATGCCATCAGCGTAAAAATACACTTAGGAAGTTTTACACTGAACTAGAAAGTGACCATTGCTTTTTTGAAAATAGTGATGGGTGAAAGAGTGCAAAGTTTTACATCAATTTTATTGATGTAATTTTTACAGTGATTATTGATGTAAAACTTTAGAGGTGATGAGGTTTTACATCTATTATCGATATAAAATTACACTCCATCCAAACGCATGCAAAACTGAATTGGAGTAGAGTTTTATAACAATAATAATTAGACCCTCTTTCCAAATGCATACAAAACCGAACCAATGTAAAATTAGTTATTGATTTAGATCGCATTCAAATGCAGCCTAAAATAATAAGTGTCAAATGCAACTAGGTTTTGGAATGACTAAATTACATGGATAAATAATATCCTCTCGAGACTTGGATAAATAATTTTCTTGTCCACGCCGAAATTGATTACACATGATAGTATAACATTGTTGATTTTAAGTAACTTTATCAAAGAAATAAATGAACAACGGGAAGTACATTTATAGTTCTAAAGAAACACTGGACCAGATAAATACGAATGACTTATCATCGAAAAACAAACGAGACCTTATTTTCCAGCTTCTTTTTCGTTTGATATCATGAATATGATTCATGTACATGGCATGGCATGAATGATGCATGTATGCATATGGACAGAGCATCAGTCTACGTCATAAGATTGGTTGGATGACGTGTCAATTTTTGATAACGTACGCTTTCCACTTATTTGTCGTGACACACGCGTGACGAACGGTCAAATTTTGAAGCAACAGCCAGGGCTTCAGACAGAGAAGAAAGGAACAGCCATCAACGAACGGGTGAAAATCGGACCGGAGAACCAACCACCCATCAGGATTCTGGGTCGAGATCGACAAGGCCAACACCCTGCAAGCCTCGCTAATTACGTGCTAAAGTGCGCCATTTTTCCATTCTTTTCTTCCCTCCTTTAAAAACTCTCTCTCTGTTCAGTGCTCACTCTATCTCCTCTGAGCTTCCAGTACGTTTTCGTGTTTCTCTGCTTCTTTTTCCTTACTTTCTCGCTCTTTCTCTTAGTATAAAGCTGCAAAGGATTCGATACAAACAGAGTGCGTAGGATAAGAGAATGCGCACAGTTTTTTTTTTGTTCGAAGCGAAAGAACAAACGAACGAACGAACCAGAGAGAGAGAGAGAGAGAGAGAGAGAGAGAGACGAAACAATGAGTTTAATACAGAGGCAAAGGTAAAAGAAGGGAATCGACAATCATCACTCTTTCATCGAAAGGTCGGTTTCCTTTTTCCTGGCGCAAGCTAAAAAGAAAAGATAAAAAAAAAAAACAAGCACTCGAGAATCCGACCACTCATGCTTCGTTCCGCGTGCGTGATGCAAGCTTGCTTTTCTCTGATAGGTTGCGGATGACCCACTTAGATTTCAGTACTTTTGCAGGTTGTGTTCCTGGCTCCTGGATATTGAGCGTGGTGTTTGTCGATTTGGATTGGTTTTTGGAAGAAACGTGAGATTCTGTGAGGCGGGTTAGTAGATTTTTCAATTTTCTTCTGGGGAAACAATAGATTCTCTGACGTGGGCTAGGGAAATTCTGGGGTGTTTTGGAAGAATAAAGACGAGATTTTGGGACTGGGTTGGTGTCTCTTGAACTCGAACCAAATGAGGGTGTTCTGCAACTGTCGTTTTGGGCAGTGATGGTAGGAGAGAAAATGAGTTACTCTATTGCGTGTGCTCTGGTTTGGTAGAGATTACCATGGCCTCTGTTGAAGAGAATGTCAAACCAGGAGGTTTGGCAAATGGGTCATCAACTCTAATGGATGAGATGAAGATTTTGAAGGAGTTTCAGGATCTGTCTGGTCAGTTCCTTTCATAAAATTTATTTGTTTTAAGTGCCTCATTGGTAAAATTGTTAGTTTGCCCAGTTACTAATTTTGCTTAGTTCATATGAGTTTGCATTCACAAATTTATAAGCTCGAGTGGAAACTTAAATTGATTGATTGGTTCCCCATTTTTTGTCTCTTAATCTATCTGTTGTAAATGTTCCGCTAAACCATTGGAGCTCTATCTTGTAAATCGCCTTCTCCTCGTTTCTGGTTTTCCTAAATTATTCATTATAAGTTCACCTCTGGCTGGTTTCAGGGGTTAGGAACACTATACATTCCGAGCTTTGGCATGCTTGTGCTGGACCGCTTGTTTCCTTGCCTCAGGTCGGCAGCCTCGTATATTACTTCCCCCAAGGACACAGTGAACAGGTTTGCTCTTAAGTCTTATCTATTTTATGGAATCATGTGTCACTTCTCTCTTGTGTTTGTACTCTATGAGAATTAAAATCGGCTACAGGATATGCTACAAGACTCCATATAACTGTGGCCAATATTGGGTAATGGCCTTTTTTTATTATAAGAACTCCTGCAGTATCACATTTAAGAAAGGGGAGTAATTAGAGATCTGTAATAATACACAAAGAAGTGACGGAAAATCTACTGCAAGTATTATTCATGATAGTAACTTGTGCTTGTTTAAAGTTCCTATGAACAAATAAAGAATGAAGAGCTGAAGATGAGATTAAGTTCTTTAACCTTGTTGCTTGCGAGTCCAGTGAACTTCTTTGAGGAGGTTTCAACAGATCAGCTTGAAAATACCAATCCTGATCAAATTTCTCCCTCACTTCAAACTCTAGCTTACCTGTCTTGTCTACAAGAGACTCCTCATCAGTTTTTGAATTGGACATAAAGAACTAAGCCCCTTGGAATGACTATCATGCATTCAAACGCCCTTATGAGTTGAAGGGTTAAAACTTAAAAGCAAGTTCTTCAATAATCCCTGTTTACCCACTTGACCTCATGCACCTTTTTTCCCTTGCGTTCTCTAGTCTCTACTTAATACAAGATTTTTCCTGTTAAGAGTAGCTAACTTTATTCAATTTTCCTTCTAGTTATCTGCTTAATGATCCATTCATAAGAGTAGACTTTTATTTACCTTCTTGTGTTCTCTTTAATACAAGAGTTTTCCTCTCTAGAGTAGCCAACTTTATTCAATTTACCTTCTAGTTATCTGCTTAATGATCTATTCATAAGAGTAGGCTTATATTTACCTTCTTGTCTTCTCTACTTAATAGAAGAATTTTCCTGTCAAGAGTAGCTGGCTTTATTCAATTTACCTTCTACATATCTGCTTAGTAATATATTCATAAGAGTGGACTTATATTTAAAAGCACATTAACATGAACTAGCTAGATTTTCTCCCTGATTAGATCTAACAATTCCACCTTATTTGTTGGTAGGTGCGTGTAGCAGTCCTGATTGTATTAAAATTTAGAGTCATTTGTTTACTAAACCCTTAATAGATGAAGCTGAAGTCGACTTGTTTATTAAACCATTGAATATTTAATTGTTTAATTATTTTATTCACTAAAAACGAAGCACTAAGTCTTTCACTTCAGCCATTTTAGCTGTTACTAAGTGGCCCCTCAATTTCATGGTTCAAACAACATATATTGTAGATATCCATTAAGCAGCATTGTTTGGATAATGCCTGTTGAACAGTAGTCATCTTTCCTAATTTAAGCCATCCCAGGTTCTAAATCTTATTAATGACCAACCTATAATACCTTGATATCTGTGTATGCTTGGAGAATCTGTGTCTGACGTAATAAGTAACTGATATGACTTGGGATGCTGCATGGACACTTGTTAGAGTATACATTACAAAATTGGCACTTAAAAAATATGGAAATATTGCAAGTCAATTAATCATACTATAATAAATTTCTATGTTTTGAAAATTTGACTAAATTTAACAATGTTATAAGAATATTAAGAAATCGTACTTTAGATTAAAAAAACTAAAGACAAATGCATGGTGTTAGCATATTAAATTGGATATTGACACCATTGTCCTGAAAAGAAATGGAGTCATATCCCTGTTTCTTTATCTGTTTCTGTGTCTGTATATGAATTTATGCAACTTACAGCCAACTACTTTCTCTTTCTTGCTCATTCTCTTCTCAGCCTGTTGTGGACTGTATTGTAACGACTGTCTTCATAGTCGATTTAGGTTCCTCCTGGTTGATATTATTTCTATGGTTTTGTTTTTATTGTATCAGATTTTCTCCAATTAATTATATCATTTCATTTTTGAGTTATGGCAACAGGTGGCAGTTTCAACTAAAAGAACAGTTACATCGCATATCCCTAACTACCCATGTCTCCCATCCCAGCTGATGTGCCAGGTTCACAGTGTTACATTGCATGTATGTGGAGATTGTACTTCCTCATCCTTATATTATTTAGGTGTTTCTTTCATTTTGTTCATGTGTTTCTGGAAGTTCATACAATGTTTCCAGCTCCTACTTAACATAATTTCTTTTCCAGGCCGACAAAGAAACAGATGAGATCTATGCCCAAATGAGTCTTCAGCCTGCGAACTCTGTAAGCCAGTTCAAACTTTAAATTCCTAAAAAGCTAAAGTTTATGTTTACAGTTGAACATTTTAAAACTAAGGCTTCTTGAATAGTTGACTTTTGGAGACCATCTTCTATCTATTAACAATTTCCTGTTTCTTCAACCAGGAAAAGGATGTTTTCCCTATTCCAGATTTTGGATTAAAGCTGAGCAAGCATCCAAGTGAGTTCTTCTGCAAGACTCTGACTGCAAGTGACACAAGCACACATGGTGGCTTCTCAGTGCCCCGAAGAGCAGCAGAAAAGCTCTTCCCACCCTTGGTGAGGCCTGTACTTTGTTGAACAGGAAGCCTCCTATAGTGTACTGGCAATGCTTTGTGGTATCATCTTACCCTGTTTGTCTATTCCAGGATTATTCAATGCAGCCTCCAACCCAGGAGCTTGTTGTCCGAGATTTGCATGACAATACATGGACATTTCGTCACATATACCGTGGTGAGGATTCTTTTTGTTTATTATCTTCTAGTAATTGCAGTGGTCATCATCATTTCTATGACTGGTAATTACAAGGTTAAAGCATATGGTTTCTATGTCTGATTAAGCTATAGTTATCATAATTGGTTTAAGATTGTTAACTTAAAACAGGAGACTCCTTAATACCATAGGTTTAATGACACTGTCTTCCTTGTCATGTAGGGCAGCCGAAGCGACACCTCCTCACAACTGGTTGGAGTTTGTTTGTGGGTGCAAAAAGGCTTAGAGCAGGTGATGCTGTTCTATTTATCAGGTAACTTCCAATTTTTATACATCAATGCTACTTGGGTGGGTGGGTGTATTTTTCTGTATTCCATGGATATAAGAAAATTCACCATTGATATCAGAGCTATAACTTGAAGCCCTTTTCTTCTTACTGCTCATGCTATGATTTAATTGTCAACCACGTTCCTGTGGTAACATTAAGCAAATGATTATCCAACTAAGGAATGCCCAAGACATTGCTACTTATGCCAGTGAACCCATTTTCTAGTCCTACTAAGCCGAAGGTAAACTGAGTTGATAAGCTTTGACTCACTTAATGGCTTGACATGGGGAATAGAATGGTGGTTATTTGGTTGAGTAATGATAGTATCTATCAAATTTATGACTTGTACAAGTTACTGAATTTACCTGCCTGGTTCAAGTTTCTAAAGGTTAGTTCAAGGTACTACAAACATTGGCCTTAATCTCCCATGACATTTCCAGAATTATAATTATGGCTTCCCAAGTTGATTTACTGCAAATATTTTTAACTGGTAAATATGTAGATATTTCATGTCAACAACACTTGTTAGTTCTGAACAGCTTCTACTTCATGGACATGTTTCTAGGATTTACTTGTTGGTTCTAAAACAGCTCTACTTGATAGATAAAACTGTAGAAATCTCATACTAGTTCTAAACAGCTTTTATTCAGGGACATAATTCTCAAGTTTACATCCATGCTTGAAGAGTCAAGCCTATGCACTAAATGGCAGGTGTGGAATATTTATTCAATCAAAATACATGGTTTTCAGTCTTAAAAATTTCTTGAAGGTCAACCCATTGGCTTCTTGTAGTGGAGTTTATACTAAAGTTGCATGTTAAAACTAATTTCAACAACTTGTATCTGGCATATATTATTGGATCCCTATCTTCACCAATGTACATAATTTAAGGCCCCTAGAAGGGATAGGGACACACTAAAAAGGGCATGAGTTGAAGTAGTAAGAAATGATTTAAGCATTCATAATTTAACAATGGATATGACATTGAACAAAACAGAATGGTGAAACTGGATTCATGTAGCCAAATCCATATAGTTAAGACAAAGCATAGATGATCATGATGATGACTGTTTTCACAATTTGGAGTTTTTTTTTCAATGATGTCATTTATGGCCTCTAAGAGCATAATGGGAAATATTCACAATCTCACCCAAGTGCTTTTTTTTCCTGTTGAGAAAAGGGACGAGAAGTCGCAGTTATTGCTGGGTGTGAGGCGTGCAAATCGTCAGCAAACAGCATTGCCATCTTCAGTTCTCTCAGCTGACAGCATGCACATTGGAGTCCTTGCTGCTGCAGCTCATGCTGCTGCTAATAGAAGCCCATTTACCATTTTTTATAACCCTAGGTATGCTTGATACCTTTCCTTTCTAGCATTCTCGGTGTTGTGAAATATTTGACCAGTTCATGTTTTCAGCATCATTTTATTTTTTCTAATTTTTTATAGGGCATGCCCCTCGGAGTTTGTCATTCCTTTAGCCAAATACCAAAAAGCCGTGTATGGCACCCAGGTTTCAATTGGGATGAGATTTGGAATGATGTTTGAAACAGAAGAGTCAGGCAAACGCAGGTAACTTTTTATATTACCAATCTGTTTGTCTTTTATTCCTTCTATCCCTGCCTCCTCATCTGAATTTCAAGTAATTAACTTGTTTCTTTATTGTAGGGAATTTTGAGTTAGATTGGTTGCTACTGAATCTTAGTTGTTGGAAAATGCAATATGCTTCTCTTTGATTTTATTGTAGTTACATGTCTATTTATGATGAAATATATGATATTATAGTATTTATTTGACTCATGGATTAATATTTTTTTTCTTCTTTGTGCAGATATATGGGCACAATAACTGGTATTAGTGACCTAGATCCATTGAGGTGGCCTGGTTCCAAGTGGCGTAACCTTCAGGCATGTAAATATAATCCTGATATACACATCTGAAGTTATTTCTTTAAGCTGTAAGCTTTCGGTTTTGAGTTTACTGTTTACAAAAAGGGATCTGATTTTTTGTTTTGGTAGCTTAACTGACATACTTGTGTCCTATAATCAGGTTGAATGGGATGAACCTGGATGTGTTGAAAAGCATAATAGAGTGAGCTTATGGGAAATTGAGACCCCTGAAAGTCTTTTTGTTTTCCCTTCTTTGACGTCTGGTCTTAAACGACCATTACATCCTGGATTTGTAGGTAAGTCTCATATTTATTCTTTTGTGACTAGGTCAGTTTTGGGGATCATGGATTCACTTTTGTTGCTGTATTAGGAGCAGAGACTGAATGGGGAAATATGATCAGAAGGCCTTTTATGCGTGTAGCAGAAGGTGGAAATGATCTCCCATGGCCCCCAATTCCAAGTGCAGGTTCTGAACCACTGATCAAGATGCTACTCAAATCTCAAAGTGTTAGTCCCACTGGAACATTTTCTTCTTCCATACCACCTTGTCTAGTTAAGGCAGCTCCAGTACCAGAAGGAGAAACACTGTATCAGACATTAGTCCAACAGAAACCTAATATTCTTCCTTCAGAAAATTCTTCTCTGCAAACTCAGAATCTTCATCAGCACATGGATCAAACCCATGCAGCAGATGGAAATTTAGCATCACAAACACATGTATCTGAAAAAGAGAAACCTTCAAATAAACTTGAAGACCAGTTACAACCCAAAACACAACCTGAGGAACTAGATGTGGCACCTATCATTGCACCAGATCACCTTACCCAGTTGACAGACAAATTAATTGGCAGTGCTTTAAGTCCTCAGAACCTTGCAAACCAGCTATTACTATTGAATCAGAGTACATTGCAGTTGCAGTCAGGTTCACGAGTTGTAAAGCAGCATTTGGAAGCAAATACTGCACTTTCACAAGTTAATACAACACAATTGGACGCAAACAACCTAAACAGCATACTTCCACACCCAGGTCTCCTCTCATCTCAGTACTTGGATGCTGATGATTGGGTGTTACACCCTTTTACTTCTCAATCTCTTGCCAGTATTCTTAAATCGCCAGTACCTCTATCTGGGTGTGGTAAGAAGGATACTTCAATTGTGTTTCCAGAAACAGTTAACCCTATCCTGACTCCATTGGGTCAAGAAACATGGGGCTCACAGCTGAATTATCCCAGGTATCCATCTCAAGCAGATCAGTTACCTACGTGCACTGAGCAAGATTCAACTGCTCTTCAAAGTATCTCTAATCCATGTGGATTAAGAGGTATTTCTGAGGACAGTAACAGTCAAAGTGAGATTTACAATGGTCTTCATTTTGATGCAAGCAACTGTGGAAGTACTGTTATTGATCCTTCTGTGTCGAGCACAGTGCAGGAGAAGTTTGGTACATTAAGGGATTCTGATTTCCTGAATCCTTCTGACTGTTTATTTAGTAACTTCAGTTCAAGCCAGGACGTTCAGTCTCAGATAACATCTGCAAGCCTAGCAGACTCTCATGGATATTCTCTGCAAGAGTTCCCAGACCACTCGGGTGGCACATCTTCAAGCAATGTGGATATTGATGAGGGTAGTCTGTTGCAGAAAAGCTCATGGCAACAAGTATCTGCACCTTTGCGGACATATACAAAGGTACAGAAATGAACCATCTTTAAGATGTGTACTTTAGAATTTGAATCTTTTCAGAACATTTTAGTCAGGATATATATCCATTGGAGCTTTTTCCAGATGTGTTGTATATTTCTGAACATGCCAAACAGTTTGTATCTACACTTTGGTTGTCCCTTCTGTGTGCTGAAAAGTGATCTACTTGAGATGAGTATTCCATCCATCCAATCTGTACTCTGCCTGGCAATGTAGATGATTTCTGGTTTCTTTTTCTAAAAGAATTTTGCATCTATATCTTCAACTATTGAATTATCTATGGTATGCCAGGTCCAAAAGCTAGGATCAGTTGGGAGGTCAATTGATGTTACGAGGTTTAAAAACTATGAGGAACTACGATCAGCAATTGCATGCATGTTTGGACTTGAGGGGCTGCTGGATGATCCAAAAGGTTCAGGATGGAAACTTGTTTATGTGGATTATGAGAACGATGTTCTTCTTGTGGGGGATGATCCATGGGAGTAAGTCTACATCTTTCTGTTGCTAATTTGTGGAGCATGCAGGTTGGCCTGCTCCATTCAAATCTTAGGATAAGTAGTTAAAATGAACCTATCCAATGATCAAACTCATACCATCTAGGTATTTCTGGATTCTATCATTTTCCTACTTGTATAAAAGACTACCTATGGATGGTATGACTTAAGGTCATTTGATCAGGTTTATTTCCAATTCATGGTATTCTTAGAACTCTTAGATAACTTGTGGGTCATATTTCATACTAGCTCCAAGTATTGTTCTTAATAAAAGCTTTTGTAGTAAAGAGTTCTGAAATACCAATCCTGGAATGCTTGGTTTGTGTCAAGTCTTCTTATATATGGATCCCTGATATGGTTATGTATGCAGGGAGTTTGTTAGCTGTGTGCGCTGCATCAGAATTCTGTCTCCATCTGAAGTTCAGCAGATGAGTAAAGATGGAATTCAACTTCTTAATAGTGCTGCAATCCAAGGGACCAAGACTTTATCAGATGATGGTTGCAACATTTGGGATGGCATGACCTGATTTATATGCTTCAGGTTGCACACTTTGTGAGTTCAAGCAACTTAAAAAAAGAAAAAGTATACTTTGATGGAGAAAAGTGCCCATATGAGTTCTTTTTGATTGGCCAAATCAAGTGATTGTTCTTGCCATGGATGAATTACTATGGAGCTGTCGGAACAGAAATACATCTGACAGACCTCATTCATTGTTACAGAGTGTGAACAAGCTTAGTAAGTTCTTCAGATGCTGTATCTTTAAATCCACTGTATTTGGAATGTATTTTCTTGTTTGTATTTGCAGAGATGGTTTTCAATGAATGCATATATAAGCTGCATAATCCATATTTCAAACACCCCCTCCCAAAATAAGATGAAATCTATACTACTTTAAAAAGAACGAATGGCCTCAAAAATATTTTTGGAATTTTCTAAGGACAAAATTTACTCCTCTATATTTAAATTTATTGATAAAAAATGAGGGCAAATAGGGTAATCGATTCTTGATATTAAATGAGTTGAAAAGAGGTAATTTAAAGATATACAATGCATTCAATTCTCTCTCATTAAATCCAACATTTAAGTTATTAAATTGCATTCATGTTCATTGAATCATATATTTAAGTATTTTAGTTTCTTCTCATCATTAAGTTCTATTAATTAAATCCATACTTAATAAATTAATAACTCCAATAACATTACATCTTATATTTTTAAAATCTACCTAGCAAAAATAGTGTTTTCATCTAAGTGGTGGTAAGAAATTAAATCATTTTGGGTCAAATGGGTTATTCCATGTTGCCATGATTAAATAATAAAATTAAAAAATAGATAAAATTAAAAAAATTGGGAACATTTTTAACATACATATTAAATAATAATAAGTATGATAAATAAGAAAAGTTTTTATTAATGATGAAAACGGAATGTAAATTTTAAAACCAATTGGAAATAAAAATATTTTCACATTCCCTCTTATTAAATCCTATATTTAAGATATTTTTCTTATCATAAAATTCTTGTAATTAAATCCACAATATTAATTTCAATAGTATTAAAATAAATATTTTGAAAAGTAATTTGAAAACAAAACCGTTTTCTTCCCTCCCAGTGGTGGGCAAGCAATTCGACCATTTGGGGTCAAATGGATTAATAAATAATGCCATAATCAAATAATAAAAAATTAAAATAATTAACTATAAAATGTAAGGAGTATTTTTATTAATGATGAAAATGGAATGCGAAATTCAAAATCTACCTAGAAATGAAATGATGTCATAGTCAAATAATAAAATTTTTAATAATAGAAAATACAGAGAATCACAAAAATTAAGAAAAAAGAGATAGAGAAAATTTTGGGCACATATCTAATGTTATATATTTATAAAAAAATAAAATATTAGGTACATCTCTAATATTGTGCATTCATTATATTGAACAAAAATAAGTTTTATACATAATAAATAATTTTATCAATGATGAATGTAATACAAAATTTAATGTCAACTTAGCAATCAAACAATTTTTATATTTAGATGGTGGGTTAGTGGTTTGAGTCAAATGATACCATAGACAAACAAAAATTAAGTGTGATAAGTAAAAAAATATTTTATATAATGTAAATGAAATATATAATTTAAAGGGAAAATTATAGTCAATGTCAGTTGTACATTTAAAATTAGGTTGCGGGTTTGTCCAGAAACCAACAAAACTCTAACAACTGGCTCTACATTTCAAATAATAAAAACCCTTGCCATGTCAACGGAGGCTTATGTTGTTGTTGCCAACATGGGACTCTTAGTCCATGGACACAACAAAAAACCTATATCGAAAATAGGTTTTTAGTTTTTTTTCCCACTCCCTCTATCTCTCAATCTCCCTCCCTTTTTCATCATCTCTCGGTCTCCCTCTCCCTCTGTCTCTTCCACTCTTTCAGCTTTGGTCTATAGGCAAATCAAAATCTCTCTCTCTCTCTCTCTATTGTTCTCCCTCAATCTTTCTCATTTCTCTCCCTCACTCTTTCTCTCGGTCAATATCTCATTTTCTCTCAATCTCTATCGTTCTCTAGTTGGTGTAAACTTCATAACCAAGAGTTTCTTGTGAATTTTTACCAAATTGGTGTAATGATTTTTGAACCATAACAAGTTGGTCTCATGTTCTTTTATACAATCTGATTAATACCATATAAGTGTGTAATAAAATAAAAAAAACGAGAAAATGATCAAGATAAAAACTGAGGGAGAACGATGGAAATTAAGGGAGAATGAGAGATCAACCGAGAAAGAGAATTAGAAAGATTAAGGGAGAATGATAGGTATAGAGAGAAAGAATGAGAGAAATTGATATAGAGAACGTAAATACAGGAACCAAAAACCATTTTTATTTATTTTCAAATCATATAGTCGTTGAGCAGATAAAGATGATTGTGAGTAAGAGTGAGGGAGATTGAGAGAGATAGAAAATAAAAACCCTTTTTTTTTTCCAATCACCGAACATTAAAGCGGAATTTTAGTATAAGCTTTTTGTTGTGTCCAACATGGATTAAGAATCCCATGTTGGCAACAACCACATAAGCCTCTGATGACATGGCGAGGGTTTTTATAATTTGAAATGTAGAGCCAGTTGTCAGAGTTTTGATGGTTTATGGACCAAGTTATAGCCTAATTTTAAATGTACAGCCGGGTCCAACTATAAGTTTTTCTTATTTAAAACCAATCCAAAAGCAAAGCTATTTTCTTATCTAGATGGTGGGTCAATGATCCAACTTTTCAAAGAAACCTATGATATCATAATTGAATAATAAATATTTAAGTTTATTTTTAATCATAGTGTTTCTTTTGTTAATTTTCAATTTCCATCTTAACTATGATATATCTAAAATTCAAGTAATTAATATGAAGAAAAATTTCTCACGTGCAACACATGTGCTTAATTACTAGTAAAAAGGAGAATGGTGAAAAAAAATAACTATAGATGAAAAAGATGATGAAATGGATAAAACACCGGTGGGTCCTACAAGACTAATGGTAGTTGCCCTTCTGTGGTGCTTTATTGGGGGTTTTTGAACCTGAAAAGCACTTGCCACTTTCTCGTGGAGTAGGAGCATTTCATGGTGTAAAGTAAAGCAGTTCACATGTCATCAAAATTTGCTCCAAAATCTTCATTTCAAATTTTCAATTTTTTGAATTTTCTATCTTTTAAAGTTCTCCTCACAGAGCACTCTTCACACCGACCTCATAGTATGTCTTGGCCACGGAACATCTCCCACACTTGTATTTATTATTCATGGGATATGTTCCCAATACATTGTGGGATGTATCTATGAAGTCGGTATGAGGAGTGCTATGTGAGGAGCAGATCCCAATTCCACATTGAACCATTCACATTTCAGACTTTCCAATCCCCCAACGAACAACCTCAAAGTCAACTTAGAATCAATTAAGATTCAAAGTCGTGAGGAGCAGATCCCAATTCCACATTGAACCATTCACATTTCAGGCTTTCCATTCCCCCAACAAACAACCTCAAAGTCAACTTAGAATCAATTAAGATTCAAAGTCGTGATACAGTGAAAAACTCTAAACATGAATCGTGAGTGAGAAAGGCTTTCATTTTTCAATGAGTCCTGATATAAGAGAAACCCCAAAAGGAAGAGAGGGAGGAGTAAACATTTGAGCTTCTATTCTTGCTAAAATAATCTCCATTTACAGATGTTGAGGATTATGGGTTTCAACGGCCCTTTGTTTTTGGCTCTAAGAACTCCTTCAACGCTCCAATGTGGTTTTGCACAACCTTATTTTTAACCCTCTCTCTTATGCTATTTTGGTCCTCTTTCTTTCAAGGGTTTTTCATCTCTACCGATGATAGTTTTGGTCCTCTATTTTGCACAACCAAATGCAGGGGAGCTAGTGCATGTGTACATGGGATGCCATTGACATCCCATACTCTACATGTGCATGTTGTGGGCATCCATTCTTGTCACATTGTCAACTAGATCACTCCCTGAAGTTTGATATTCATGTGGCCCTAACCAAATAATCCTCAATCCCTCAAATTCCTAGCATGCATAGGTAACCATGTTTAGAATGGCATGCATTGACCATTCAAAACAGCCAAAATGTTAGGGAAAAAAACCATGTAAATGTCTATTAAAGGTGTTGGCCTTATCATGTAAATGTTAGGGAAAAAAAACCCTTGTCAGTATATCACCATTGAAGGTGTTGGCCTTATCATGCCTTTTAGTAATCTTCTCTATCCATCTCTTACGAATATTTTCCAACGTCTGAACAATATTGGCTTTACTCTGACTATCCATGAGTTAAACGACTCAATCCAATTATTATGACTTCATCTTTTAGTTCTTTGCCTTTGAATATCTTCTTAAAATTGCTGTATAAGTGCCTCAGGAAGAACATATGGTTAGCCCCAGGCATGCATGTAGAGACAGCATCAACTATCCCTTGTTAGAAAACACCAATAACTGTTAGTACTAGGCTTATATTAGCAAACACTAACTACTGTTAGTACTAGGCATATATCAGCAAACACCAAAATCTATTAGTACTAGGAATATATAGTAAGGAAATTGACAAGTCAAAGGAAATAATTCTATGATGAGCTTATACAATATAAAAACATGTGGTTCAATGATATAGATGAAATCAGAGTTATAGCAATATGGCATATACCTTTTTCCTGTTAGACATAAAAGTCTACCTATGTTGGTCATCTCTCTTAGCTTTGTGAGAAACCAATAACGAACTTTCCTTGTTCTCAACTTCTACAATAGAATATGCTATAAGGAATATACCATTATTCCCATCAGGGCCAACATTTGATAGAATTACACTTCCAATTGCACCTGTCTTCATGTGATAGCCATCCAAACCAACGATCTTCCTACAACCCTCTAAGAATCCCCTCCTTGGTCCTCCTAGACAAATGAACTTTACAATTGACCCCAAATTGCTAACCAACAAAATTGTACAATATTGAGGCAGCCTGGTGTATGACTATGACCCATTCAAATACCCTCTAATCTTGTCAAAAGCCTTTAACTTGGCCCTATGAATTTTCTTCTAGTATACCTCTATTCTAAACACTTTTCTGATCTCAGCCCTAAGTGTATAAACTAACATGTTTGGATTCATACGTAAATATTCCTCTATTTTTGTTAAAATCCAAGTATTTGTTGTTTCTCAATTGGTTGTGTAGGTATATAGTGCTCATTCAAATCTTTAGAGCACAGTAAACACCACATTGATACCACATGAATGCGCGATTAGTCTGCAACCAACCCTTCCTTTGCGATGAACCCACAGTGCATCGTAGGCCTGCGATGAACCTACAACATG